TTACTTGCAGCGCAGCTGCGATAGGTCATCTAGCAAGACGAGAGAAACTGAAGCGTAATGTTCATATCATCTTCAGACGGCTCATTCTGTTTGAACTGTCGGTCTTCACTGAGGTAAGGTAAATATGAGTGTGACAAGTGGCTATCTAATGGTACAAAACTGAAGGCGTTATAAGTTTGCTTGAGAGACCGGTTAATTAGAACTTACTGTAGAATTAGGTGACGACGAAGCCTGGATTTACAGGCATTTGTGAATTGAAGGACAAATCTTTTTTGAAGCATCACGTATTTATAAATGATTCATTAAAACAAAAAATTTTTTGACGAGGAAGGAGCACTTCTCACGACGGCTCCTTAAATGTTTTAAATAAAATTGTGGGAAGAGTTTAGCTTACAAGAATTGATTTTAAACTCTCGAGTTTCCGCTGGGAAGCTGATTTTAACGAAGTCTTTTGGGTCTGTGCGAACCCAATATGCTGAAAGTTTTACGGCCTTATAAGACGGTTGTGATACCCAAGGGAGGGTTTCATTCATGCCACGTTAAAGAACAAAATCTTGACGGAGGTTTTAAAGAAGAAGTTCATGCATGAGCCAAAGGCTCTAATTGAATAGAGCACCAGGTTTTGGCCGTACTTATTTGATCCTAATTTTTTTCTTTTGTATTCAATGCTTAAATGAACTGCATATTAAAGAACTGTTTTTAAATATCTAATCGGTAATCTCCGCTTCCAGGCTGCAATTAGAAAGGAAGAAAAATCTATGGAATGTGGTGCCATAATCCTTCCCTTGCTACCAATGCGTCACCTACAGAATTATCAGCACTCAAAAAGTTAAAGGCATTTTCTTTCGCAAACTGGTTACACGATCAGCTATAATGGAGAGCGCTCCGACAGGTCGGAATTTAATACTTCTTTACTTCCTCTATTACTTTTTATAGCAGTTACTTAAGGAAAATGAAATTTCTTGTGAGGTTGCGCGTGTGCTTCTTCTTTTGGGTAGTCTATATGACACGTTTTTTTTCCGCCTATTTCTTGCCCTTGATAAAGAATACGAGAGTTTTTTTCTGATTTGTCGAGTGGCCTATAAACCAATCACGTTTTTTTACACAAAACCTAGATTGGTTCTGAAGGCTTTACGTATTCATTCTACTCCTCTCCAAAAAAGATAATGCTAATTAAGTAGTTTAAAAAATGCGATGTCTTGTGAAGTTTTTGTGTTTTAAGGCATAAGTTTTTTTTGTTAAAACTTCAGATTGACGCTACCGGCTTAGTCTTTTTAAGATAGCTCAATTCTTGATTGGTTTTTTTTTCTCAGTCCGCTTTTAATCCAATACCATGTGTAGTTGGACTTTTATTAATTACAGTATTTAATTTTGAGTGAATTTTCAATGGGTATTCACTACACCAGTACTATAAATTCCCCCCCCCC